AGGATGAATTTAAACCGTGTATGTTTGTGCATGGGAACGATGGCAAGTGCGTAAGTATTTGGCAGTTCCAGCGATATTTAAAGATTGAAATATTGATTGTCGCTTTGTTTCATGTTTGATTTCAGTTTTATTGCACAATTTGTGCCCATACCGGAACTGTTCTTATTTGTGATTCAGAAGATTGCCCACGGTTGGTTTACTCGCATTTAAAATAAATTTCTGTTGTCTAATTATTCTATATATCATATTATATATGCAGAGTATAATTATTTAACGTATTATTCATTTCAGTGTTTATTGTACAGCTTGTTTGAAATTTTTGATATGTCCAAAATCATTTGATGACATGCTGTTGGAAGATCCATGGGAATGTTTCCTCTGCAGAGACGAAACTAAACAGCCCAAAGATTTGATATTACGTCCGCGGGTAAATTGGAAAGAGCAATTTACAAAAATGTTCCGTACAACTTCTAATTTCACAAACGATGTAGATATTGCAAATTTGAAGAAGCAGAATAAAGCTGTACGTGTGTTGTCCCTTTTTGATGGCTTGAGCACCGGTAAGATAAATTTGCATTTAATTTAGAATCATACTTTTTGGAATACTCGCGTAAGTTATTGCAAGTTGTCACGCTCGAAAGATATAATTTTATATGGTATATATATATATATTTTTTTTTCTTATGTTAAATACAAAGGTTTTTTGGTGCTTCAAAAATTGGGGCTCGTTGTGGAAGTTTATTACGCTAGTGAAATTGAGGTAAATGCCTTAACGATTAGCTCTGCTCATTTTGGCGATCGTATTACTTATCTAGGAGATGTAAGAGGTATAACAAAGGAAAAAATTCAAGAAATTGCGCCGATTGATTTGCTAATTGGTGGGTCACCATGCAATGATTTAAGTCTGGTCAATCCGGCGCGATTAGGTCTCCACGGTACTAATCTACAATTAATATGTATCTGTTAAAAGCTTTTATAATGATTTTAATCTACTCTTATGATCATAGATCCGAAGGGGACAGGCATTCTCTTTTTCGAGTACTGCCGAATTAAAAAGCTAGTAGAAAAAGCCAACAAAGGTCGACACATATTTTGGTTATTTGAGAATGTCGCTTCTATGCCAACCGAGTATAGATTAGAAATTAACAAGTAAATTGAAATATTTGTTAACTTATAATTCAACAGGTAATATTATAATTACGCGAAATTAACTTGTTATATTAATTATTGTAGACATTTAGGACGAGAACCTGATGTCATAGATTCGGCGGATTTTTCACCCCAACATAGACTGAGACTTTACTGGCATAATCTTCCCTTTAATCCGTATATGCCGCTATTTGAAAGCCGACAAGACGTTCAGGATAAGCTTACTCCAAACTTGAACCGAAAGGCTCTTTGCAAGAAACTTCATACAGTTACGGGTAGAACGGGTTCCTTGCTACAAGGTATAAAAATATCTAATAAAAACATTTTACAGATATTTTTATTGAAAGCGATGTATACTTAATTTATATTTCTATTTTAGGAAAAGCAGAATTAAAACCAATAATGATGAAAGGCAAAACTGATACGATATGGATTACTGAACTCGAAGAAATCTTTGGCTTTCCACGACATTATACGGATGTGAAGAATTTATCAGCCACAAATCGACAGAAATTGCTCGGAAAGTCTTGGAGCGTACAAACACTTATTGCCATATTACGACCTTTATGCTTATATTTTAAGTGCAATGAAGATGAGACGAGCAAAAAGTCTGCTTCTTAAAGAAGATAATTGAATTACCTCTGTATTGCAATAGATATTTTTAATGAAAATTTTGATTTAGCTAGAAAGTTTTTTTTATCATTGTCGAATAGTACATAATTAAACACGCAATGATATTTTTTTATCTCATGCTATTATCAGGTTAATTTATGTGACTGCAATTATATATACCTAAATTTATTTCTTAAATAAAAATAATGTATAAAATGTTCCTTGTAAGGATGCACCGATTCATAAAATTATCGGATATCCGGTGTCATTGTTTTCGGATATCCGGTAGAACAATTATCCAGCCGAATACTGGCCAATACCAGTCGACATCCTGTATATTTTGTCAGATATGTCTGAAAAATGGCTTCATAAAAAAAGAGGCAGCAAAGGAAAAATAACAATAATAATTTTTTTTATCTTTCCAATGTGAAAAGAAAAAGAGGAAAGAAAGATGAACTGTGCAAGAAATTTAGCTAAAAAGAACAAAATTCTGCATTAATAACGCACGCTATTAATGTAAAATTTCAACCGGATATATTACCGAATACTCTAATGATATCCGATTATTCGACTGGATAGTAAAAAAGTGCCGGGTAATGTCCGAATACCGGATATTTCTCGGATAACCGGTGTATCCCTAATTCCTTGATGTTCAGTGATTAAATATGTAATGATCTTTATACAGGCTGTAATGATCTTATGTAAACAGGGTATCCCAAAAGGTCGGGTACCTTGAAAATCTCGGAAAATATAAGTTTTACAGAAAAGTATTTTAGACACAAAAGTTGTAGGATTTAAAAAGATCTTTTTTACTGATTTTATCAGTTTGACTTTGGCGACGCCATCCAAGATCAAATTGATAAGATCAGTAAATAAATCTTTTTAAACCCTAGAACTTTTGTCTGAAATACTTTTCTGTAAAATTTATATTTTCGGAGACTTTCAGAGATCCCTTTTTGGGACACCTTGTATATTAAATTGTATATCACAGGATTTTTTATACATACAGCATGATTCTTAATATATGTCAATATTCACATAATTATATGTATATTATATGTATATACATATACATACATTAATATATACATGTAATATAATATATACATATAATATAACATAATTATATTATATATATATTATATTATATAACATAATATTGACATAAATTTTTAAGATTTATCAATAATCACAATTATATATTATATACTATTTTATTTTTAATTATATTAATGTTCTAGTGATTAAAATAAGGAAAGGATAATAGATTATTTAGTTTTTATTAATTGTGATATCCTTTGCTTCTTTTGAGCGCTAAATTCATTTCTATAAAATATAGATATCTGGAGAGAGAGAGAGAACACGGTAGTGTCTCGGCGCTAAGCCAAGCGCAGCGACACTGTACAATTAACAATCATATCCTGTATACACACACACACACACACACACACACACACACACACACACACACCACACACACACACACACACAAATTACGTTACATATACATTACAATCTGAAAATATGTCTGTATTTTACCTCTTTCTAAGAGAATTATTCTGGAACGACATAAATTAACATAAAAATATATGGTTATATGTCGTCATTTCTTTTAGCACTCGAAACGAAATAATATAATCATCAATTGTACAAAATAAAATAATTATGTCTGAAAGTATGGTACAGTTTCTGAAATACTTGTCTCATTTAAGGGAGTAAAACAGAGTAAAAGCCTTAAAAAAGATTTTTCTTTGTCAATTCTTTCTAAAGTAACTATAAAAAATGAATTGGTATATCATTTGGGCATACTTTGAAGACATTTTAAGAATTTTTGTATGTAAAAATATAAATATGTGACAATGTTACAGCATTGTAGACTTCCGTGTTCAAAAAACATGATCCATCAGCGGTGTAGAAAACACAAGTTGTAATTATCTGAAATAAAATTTTCGAATCTATATGAGTGTAATTTCAGTTAAGCGTAGCGATTTTTTAAAATAATTCTTTTTTATAAAATGACAGCTGTTAAAAGAAATTCTTATGCTTAACTGAAATTATTCATTTTATGAAGCTACGATTCAAACTGTGACCAATCGGTTGAAAATTGTTCGAGTTATAGATATCGCCAGTTGAAAAATAGTAGTTTTGAAAAAAACACGTTTAAAGTTTCAGTATTGATTATTTAATAGAAATCTATCGAATTTGTTAGTTTGCCATAGTGAATCTATTCCAGAGACGATCATAAGATGAATCGTCTGTAGCAGTTGTAGTATTATCTATTGCATTCATGTCCTTTCTGAACTGCATTCTTCCTTCGTGCGTCGCCGCTTGCGTTGGTTTCTCAACAGCAGTAATTCGTCACCGAACCTCGTTTTCAATATAGTTTGTTTATACAATTCTACAATTTGTAATAATGATGCAAGTTTTCAAATCAGGTTATTAAAATTTTCATTATTATTTTCTGCATATGCACCTAAGCATATTGATATTCGGACAAGAATTAATTTTGGAGCACACGATGGACATTTTATTGTAATTTTAAACCCAAGTTCTCGCTTACTTGATTCTTCAAACTCCACATTTCCTCCACAAGATTTGCATTTCACACGTTCAACAAGCGTCAGAAAAACGGAGTAAAAATTGATGATTCTGATGAAATCAGTCGATGATCTGATAAACGGAAAAATTAGATGTTTCAACTTTTTAGCAAACGGACGATTTCAACTTTTTAGAAGTGTTCACAAAATTTACTAGTTTCTCTATTTCATACTTATTTGGAGAACGTTGTCCTTTTCTAACATCTCGATTTCTCTTATGGTTATCTGACTATAGACTTTTTCTATCTATTTCTTATTTCGTGTAGAAATGAATATTGACGCGTACTGTGCTTTGTACTATAAATAACTAACGGCTGTCCAACAAACTTTTTAATTATGCGAAACACACACACACATATATCTGTACGTGATCATGAAACGTAGGTATCAAATGTCGATCTACAAGGTCGAGAAGCCTATTTGCGTTCGATATAGGGTGACCGATCAGGTGCGTATCTCAGCACTGTGCGCCGTCCGCTAAAATTCACATAACTTGAGAAACACTTCGAATTTCATAAAAACCTTTTAAGAGCAGATTTTTAAAACATCAATCTTTCGGAAAAAGGTAAAAAAATTTTTCGATTTTTTTGAAAATTATACTGTTTTATCTCCTTAAATTGACGTTGATAAAGAATATACCAATGCACATGTAATATGATTCATTATGATTTACTCGACTTATTTTTATTTTGATATTTCATCTTGAAGTATCCTCTGCGAGGTTCACGACTCGTTGGTAATTCTGCGTTTCCACCAACATAAGGAGCGCCTTGATGCAATTGCAACAATACTGGAGGAACAGGAATACAGCCCGCTAAGCAGTTAACGTGCTGCATCATTGATATCGGTAACGGAGTAATTATGAACACTTCCTGTCGTTCCATATCGACACCTCGAATTATGCCTATGCAATAATACAGAACATATTCATAATATTCTTTTAAATATACATCGTATATATGAATGAATATTTTTTCTATATATATATTCATTTTAATATTCGAAAATATTTATTAAAAAAGTTCACGCTAAAGTATCACTACTTACCGAACCCGTAGCATGTACATAAAGGAGATCTTTGCGTTAGTACTTGAAGATTGGAGATATCTGTCGATTTTTTTGGAGATTCTTTCGTTAAATCTATACCGCATAGCGCTACAATGTTACCATTTATGACATTTAAAGCGCGTGATGCGGGTACTCCGAATAATCGTTGAGGTACAATGCACAAGGAAGAAAAGGGTGCCCTACAAATACATATCAAGATATTCACATATGTCTATCATTATTTAACATTTACACGCCAATAAGGTACAAAATACTGACGTATACGGCACCGCTTCGTTAATATTTGAATTGAATGAAAGTTCTGTGTTGTACTGGCTGAAATAAACGTTGAAATTAAAATTATGAGTTTTTTAAAATAAAACATGAAACAATGTATACAGTTATAAAGCTTACGGGGAATCATTTTCATCGTGCACAATACTGCTGAGATAAGATAACATCGCGAGTTCACGTCCTTGATATGGTTCCATGTTTAACTCATTTCGCGTTGCAACAACCTCCGCCTGGGAGTAGATTAGGCACAAATCGTGTTCACACGGTCTATTCCAATCGATAAATGTCTCGTCACAGAATGTCCACGACCATTCCTATTAAACGTCCTTTCTCAGGAATCGATTGTTCAACAATATGTACTTATTATCAAAAAAGTTATGTATTACCTGATTATTTACAACTGCCGCACTAAGAACGTCGTTATAATTATTCTTATTTTTTGACGACATAATCTGTAGGATGATCGAGGGCCTGATTAGTTTTATCGTGAAGATTATAATGTTCCAACCGAGACTTTTGGTAAAACCCATTGTGTTCACTACAATAGGTAAACGAGACAGGATGGGACACTCCTTCAATTTCTCGATCAACATCTTAATACCCTCCAGGTAACGCGTAAGGCATCGGTTAACGCTCACGTCATCAATGAACAGCTGGTAAACCGGTGTTTTTAGATGCGTGAAATTTGGTCCCATCAAAGGCTCCTCAATCAAGCTGTACGAGATGCATCCGGGCGGTGTACACTCCGCCTGTCCGGGATCTACATCTATCAAAACTACCTTCTTCGACGTGCCCAACAGACTGTTGATCAAACATCGCATACTGGTGGATTTGCCGACGTTTTTACCACCAGCGATCAGCGTGCAGGACCATTCATTTGCGCGCCAGCGATTCAGCATCCTCTCCGGAATGTCCGTGGTGATACAGGAATCGATGATCAACCGTCTATAGTTAAAATTGTATTGCTCGAGACGCAGTTTTGCTTGTAGTATTATTTCAGCTCGTTTGGGGTCTGTCCATGAAAAATAGTGGGGATTCTTCATGCGTCAAATTGTTTTCGAAATTTTGCAGCACGAAGACAGCCATTCCTGGTTGGATGTTGTCAACGTCGATCTGCAATTTGCTCTCAGAGTCTCGAGTGATACCTCTTACAGCAAGCGCTGTCCATACGTCTTCGACACTGTCTTCCAGGAATTCCTCGCTAGTTTCTATAACGACATTGCTGTATCCACGTGGAGAGTATACTTCTGTGTTATCAGTTGACTTGTTTAGTACGGAGCTGTAAATTTTCACAGCACCGTATAACACTTTGACTAACAGCTTGCCAGTGAAACAGAGAGTACTCCCACTTTCCATTATGACGATGACTATGTTTCTTATGCAGTAAATTTTTGGTACTTTCTCATTCAAGTTAACATTTGTGTGCCTTGAACGCCTTACTTCTGTGGCACTATTATGATCTATAAACTGAGGACTGTTGTTTTTGACACGTTTTTTGCGCACACGATTTCGAATAGGACTGCTTGTATTATTGATACCAACAGCTTTTAATCTGTTATCAATAACATCTTCGCTTTCATCATTTTTAGTTACACCCGATGGCACAGATGATGCCAGTTCTGAATGTGTAATTTCTATACAATCGTTATGCTTAGAATTTACAGATTTGGCATCTGTCATAGTGACTTCATGCATATTGATCAATGAATTTATCTTATCGAGAGTATCATCACAAATTATTTTCTTATTTAATTTTGTCATTTGTTTAGGTTCAAATATCTGTGGTAGGTTTATTGAAGTGGTACCATCCACCAGTGTATTGTCCACAAAGGATGCACCTAAATTTCTTTTCTCTTTGGGAGCAATATGAGTCCAATCGTCATCCGTATCCTTTTCAGTCTCACTCTCAGAAATATCTAGCTTGCATCTATTTTTCCAACTAGTATCTATTTCTCCAATTGTTTGCTGCTCTAGATCACCCTGTTCTTTGGAATCAATCGTGAAATCTAAAATTCAAGTAATTGCCAAATTAAGGATATTAATAAAAGATATCTTAATTATATATGAAAACGAATTAGTGGTGGTAAATGAAAAAAGTAAATTCTCTCTGCATTTCTTACACTGAGTCTCAGATGTTTCGTTACTACTTCCTTTATTGTCAGAATACTTCTTTTTGTGTTTATGACTGGCCTGTGCAACTCTTCTCTGTATGGCAACATCTACTGGCTCATCTGATACAGAAATATTCTGCATGTCACTGGCACAGGCATTATCTAAATTTACAGTGTCTTTGTGGCTGTTCTTACGAGCGACACGTATTTTCTTCGCGCGAACTTTTTTTAATTTTCTAGAATCACAAACGTAACGAAAATGAAGCAATGTGCAACATTTCATGCAATACCACCAATTTTATTACGACTTCAATAGAATTCCGATTAACTTAATCAGTAATTCATTTAACATCTGTTTTGTTTATAAACATTAATCATTTTTTATTTAACATACAAAAAAAGATTAGATTAAGTATAACAAATTACATAATCAGAAATTAAGAATAAAAATTTTAAGTAGAAATTTTGCTTTAAATAATTTTATTAATTAATTAATCGAAATTACGTCGTAGTCGCTTCAAGAGCCACGTAAGTAACGTGAACAATGAATGAATATCTACGTCATCTACGTTCAATCTCGAATTATTTCGCTTACTTTTTAATTTTTTGCGATTTTAATTTAACTGTTTTTTTCTTTGTCTGTCCACTGCGATCTACCTTCATTGATGAAACAAATATACTAATGTTGACTTAAAATATACGTATATCTGATGTTGTCACAGAGCTTTGCTCATAGCTTTGCTGAAGCTTTGCACATTTTCCAACCTCATCTCTCAATTTTCCCTACTTTGCTACTTCCCTACTTGCACTCTTTGTATTCTTCTCATTCCGCGATTTCCATGAATTTCGTCGATTATAAACGGAGTTTAAGACTGTGTTCATTTTGGCGGTTACAGCGCTTATAAGCATCAATTATCCTTGTTTAATATTTAATAAACAAGAATGAAATGACGCTTAAAGCGTTGTGAGCGACAAAGCGAACACAGTCTAATGTAGGATTCACACTGAGTACGGCATCCTAGGCCGGTATTCATAGTCAGATCTTATATTTAAGACCGTCTTAAGTTCTGCCTTGAGGCGTCATGAACCAATCAGAGGGCCACATTGGCATCTTAAGACATTACTTAAGACGGTCTTGAAATAAGAACCAACTATGAATACCGACTCTAGAGTCCTATATATAATGCGGGGTCTACAATAGAAGTCGTAGCAGTCGTAGGGTCTTAAGTCGTAGAAAATTGACCAATCACAGTCGAATATGAGAAGAATAATCAACTGTGATTGGTCAATTTTCTACGACTTAAGTCCCTACGACCGCTACGACTTCTATTGTAGACCCCGCATAAAGAGAAGCGATATCCAACCTCTACCATCAGATCGGATCCCTACCATCACTCCCTATGTTGCGCCCGCTACGCACTCGCAACCGCGATGCGCATTCCCGAGTCGCGGAAAGGAATGGACTCAAGGGTGATGGAAAATAACAAAGAAGCTCTTTATTAAGATCGACGATACAGTCAGATACAGTACAAGAATACTGTGAAAGAAATATAACGGTAATCGATGGAGAAGCACGTCCGAACGCACCGACTGCTCTCCAAAGATCTGCCGGCCATTTTCGATAAACAACGGCGCGTCGTCCTGGCAACGCGACACCACAGATCGGCAAAGCGTAGCATGCGACGGAGCACGGGTGTGACACTGCCCTCCTTCTGAAAAATTGTCGTCCCGACAATCATCTTGCTCCAAGATTCGCGAAGGCTCTTCTTCTTTCCGGGCTCCCGACCAATTTTCCGCTCCCTTTCTGTGCTGCTGCAACAGTTTTTTTTAGAGCTTGATCTCCTTGGAATCCGTTCCCCAAACTGAGGCTCCCCTCTCCTTCTGGGCAGGACCCCTTTTCAGTTCCTCCTCAGGAGTTGGCCAGTCTCCCGGAGGAACACGTTCCGGGCATCCTCCAACTTCACGAAGGAGGTGTATTTCCTCTTGCCTCTTCTCTTGAGCCTTGCGTTCTTGATTCTTCGTTTTTCGGACTAGGAAGGGAATAAAAGAATGTTTTGTAGCCACAGCACTTATTAGCTACGTTCAGCAGAGAAAACTAATCAGTTAGCGCTTAGTGATTCTTCAATATAATTGGTTCCTACACTTAGATCTAGTGAAGAACTAAAGGCAAGAACCAATCATATTAAAGATTCACTAAGCGCTGACTGATTAGTTTTCTCTGCTGAACGCAGCCATTGTGTTTCCAGCTTTAGAATAAAGGTACCTTTTCATGCTGACGCTCGACGCTCATTTTTGGCGTCAAAATAAGTCACGTGATAGAAATTGACGAATATCAAGCGCCAATTTTGATCACATGACCTATTTTGCCGCTGAAAATGAGCGTCGAGCGTCAGCATGAAAAGGCACCTTAAAGGTAAATTTTCACGAGCTGCTCAAATCGGCTGGTTCAGTGGCTGCGTTCAGCAGACTCAACAGTTTTGCAACCGTTTTATGATTGTCTGCTGAGATAGGACCATTCTTCTAGATCTAAAAGTATGATCCAATTAGCGCGAAGGAAACTTCCAACAGTTGCAAAACAAACGTTCTGCTGAACGCAGCCATTGACAAAAAGGATCACGTGACCAAAATTGACGAATATCAAGCGTCCATTTTGCTCATGTGATCCTTTTTGTCGTTGAAACAACCGGTTTTAGTAGTTCGTGAAAATTTACCTTTATGTCTAATTCACACTGGACGCAGCAAGCGTCCAGCAGTGGAGCAGCAATCAATGGTCGCGTTCAGCAAACTCAACTGTTGCGGAGCGGATCAGTGAGCTCTCGCTGCTATTGGATAATCTAAAAGAATACACCAATAGCAGAGAGCGCTCACGGATCCGCTCCACAACAGTTGAGTTTGCTGAACGCGACCAATCAGTGAGGTGATATTTACAATGGCGTAAACAATGGGTGCGTTCAGCAGAACGTTTGTTTTGCAACTGTTGTAAGTTTCCTTCGCGCTAATTGGATCATACTTTTAGATCTAGAAGAATGGTCCTATCTCAGCAGACAATCATAAAACGGTTGCAAAACTGTTGAGTCTGCTGAACGCAGCAATTGTCGCCTTGCTGGTTGGTTGCTGCTCCGCTGCTTGACTCTTGCTGCGTCCAGTGTGAATTAGGCATTAGGTATTAGTGTTACCAGCAACAAGCAGCAAGTTCCCGATAATTTCCTAGACATCAAGTTCTTCGTTGCTGCACCGTGTTACGTTTTCTGCACTTAAAATCAAATAAATGTATAATTAAACGTTAGAAAAAAAAGAAGAACCCCAACAATGCAAAGAATTCAACTACAAAGAAGGGTAATTATTTAGAATACGGGTCCTACTCTAGAATCTTAATAAAAATGTACTCATTCGACGCGTTTTCACTCAAAATGAAAGAATCTAGCAAAAAATGCGGCGGTCGGCCTTGTTGATCGGTGAACCGAGATATTAAGCGTTAAAGTTCGAGATTTTAGAGGTTAAGATATCATCCTGACTCAATATAGCGCTATGTATAAATTCACTGTTAATGCAAAGAATTTGTGTGCTTAAAGCAGTGAATTTGTGTTTTTAAAGCAGTGAATTTCTGTTTTTAAATCTGTAAATTTGTCTTTGTGAAGCAGAGAATTTGTTTTTAAAGCAGTGAATTTGTGTAATTAAAGCAAAATGTATACATAGTGCTGTATCAAGTGGAGATGACAGATATCTTAACCTCTAAAATATCAAACTTCAACGTTTAATATCTCGGTTCACGAGGCCGGCCGCCGTCTTTTTTTTCGCCAGATTCTTTCATTTTGAGTGAAAACGCGTAGAATGAGTACATTTTTATTAAGATTCTAGAGTAGGGCTCGTATTCTAAATAATTATCCAAAGAAGAAACTTAAAACATGATCGCTCAAAAAATAAACCAACAAATCTCGCGTTTCAATTTCGCGCCCACATTTGGTCTGAAACAGCGATTGGCTCGATTTTCTAGCGGGCGCCATTTCTTTTTGCGCGACGCGACGCCCCGACGCCGTCCGCTCATACCATGCCACCTCCGTTGTCGACGGAACCGTGCAGACCGTGCTACGAGAGATGGATTCGATGGACTCGATACTGGTGACCGACGAGGAAATGGATACGTCAGACTCGTACTGCTTTTGCGGCCGTTCGTTACCCCAACAGTTTATGATACAGTGCGACGTGTGCAAGGAGTGGTACCATGGCAGGTAAGCGTTCGCGTGCACGTCGGAATTTGCGTCGAGGCACGCGCTTGGAGAGCGACGTCGGTTCTCCCGCGATTTTCCGCGGACGGCCCGTTGGAAAACCTTTCATGCGGAATCATTCCCGCGTCCGCTCGCGTTCGTCGACGCGACGCGATCTCAAGGGTGGTTTCGCGTCGCGGACTCTGTTTTTATTGACGTTAACATAACCTGTACCGCGCGTCATTTCATACTTGGCGTTTGTTAACGCATACGCGTGATGAGAACGATCGAAGCACCGACAGGACTTACTCCGTTCGATTAAAGTAGTGATCTGTGTGCACTTATGATTTGTAGATCTTTGCGTCATATGTTACAATCGACACCTTTTCTTCTGTCAAATCAATGTCATGTTATTGTTCCGTTTTAGGTGTGTGAATTTGAAGGAATATGTGACTATAGACCTTGACAAGTACCACTGTCCACGATGCGAGCCCATGTGTGGCCCTTCACTCTGTAAGGCTGTTGATTTATTCACAATATTTTATATATATTTACATTCTCTAAAACTTTAGAGTGAATTGTCATTCTGAAGAATAAAATGTTGCTCTTAAAGATTGAAAATTGAGCCTCTTTTTCAAGACTAACTCAATTTTCACTCTTTATGTGATTCTACTCCAAAGAATTTAGAAAGCATATGTATGAAATTTGTTGTCTTTAATGTCCATTCTGCTTTACAGTGAAAATTAGAACAAATTATCATAGACATGATTATACTGAACTCGATGCAAATGTAAAACCAGTTCAAACTGGAACTGCAGTATTCATACGAGAGCTGAAATCGAGACACTTTCCCAAAGCTGACGAGGTTGTGAAGCATGTGAAAGGACATCAATTGACTATTCAGTATTTACAAAATAATGGCTTTGAAACTCCTATCATTATCGATGGAAAAGATGGACTTGATATGACAGTACCACCTATGACCTTTAGTGTTTGCGATGCTGAAACTTACATTGGTAAGATAAATATAAAAGTAAGAATTAAGATAAATGATTACGTTTACACGCACTAGTAAAAACAATTTTGGTAAAAATCATTTTAGTTAAAATTTGCTTTATATAACCTAATACGGAACCTGAGACGAAATATCCTTTGTCATTTCTTAACCTTAATGTCTAAAGTTGGTAACATCGAATTTTGATACGTTAAACCGATTGAAGACCGTTTACACGACTTTCGTAAAACGGTTTAGTAATGCCAAACCTGTTTCAGAAGAGGTTTGGATTTACTAAAACGGTTTTTATTAAAACGGTTTTACCAGTGCGTGTAAACATAGTCAATGTACAACATACATACATTAGAGAGCGCCAATGATCGCGGTCAAAGTTAATGTCATTAATACAATATATATTCTTAATTTTTAATTTTTAAAATAAAAGTATCCTGGAATAATTGATGCTTCACAATTATTTTTCATAATAAATTTATTTTATATTTTTTATATATTTATTTTATAATTGTATATTTTGTAAACTTACATAATACATATTATTTTCAGGTAGTGATCGAGATATAGATGTAATTGATGTTACAAGCCAAAGTAATCTACGTATGACATTAAAAGACTTTGTAGAATATTACAACTCCCCTTCCCGAATAAGAGTACTTAATGTCATAAGTCTTGAATTTACTAATACTGGGTATATCAATATTCATTGTCTCACTGTATATGGCTTAAATTGTTTTTATAGGATGTATGTTTGATAAA